AGTGTTCTTCTGAGATTTAGTTGCCCCTAGCATTGTTATATTTTAAAACCTTTGTTTTGCACAGAAAAAGACTTGCCTCCTCTTTCTTTGTTGCGCCTCAGACTAAGCGCAGGAGCAAATGCAGCTGTAGGTTCTAGCTCAAGTACAGCTGAAAGTACCAGCACAAGTACAGCTGTAGGTACCAGCACAGGTAAGCTGTTGGTACCAGCACAATTATAGCTTTAATTACCAGCACAAGGACAGCTGCAGGTGGCAGCACTCCACACCGTTTCACCGCCTAATTTTGAGCAACCATCACACTTTCCACACCGTGTTGTCATCATCCCGTAACGTCTTACGGTGGTCCATAAGTGCGTCTCCACTTTACAAGATGACCAGAAGGACGACTCTCAAAGCATCAGTGTCCTTGTATCGCTTTGTTAACTCCCTAGACCTCAATGAACAGATGTCTTCCCCGTGTCTCTCTGTACGGCCAGAACCCTCTTCGGGGCGAGACCCTGTTCAGGAATATCTAATCTTACACGTCCTCAGCTTGCTTGTGTCGTGGACTCAGTCGTCGAGCTCTGCAGGTTATCTGCTCTTAAAGACTTGGCACTGGCCTACATGTAAACTTTTATTGTTTTGCAGTATTTTCTATTTTCTATATTCTTAATTTATCTTGCCTCTTTACTGTAATTCTCCTTTTGTGGGAGTTAATACTGAGAAGGAACGGTGTTCTTTTTATTGTTTTCTGATGAATGTTTGGTAATATTGTGATCCATTTTGTATTGTATTATGTGCTGGCAGTAAAGGGCCGCTCCTCAGTATGGCTTCCCTTATATTTGAGGAGCTCACAATTCACTCAAAAAGCTTTACCCAATACTTGCTAAATTCTCACCCCTTCACTTTCGACCATGGTCACATACTTCTCGATATTTATCAATCCAATTCCCCTTTAACTGGAGATATTAGATCCCAAAGATGGAACTCAATTTCGCAGCCACAAAAAGTGACCTTGTAACTAAAAATAAACCATAAAACAGGCCCCAAGGTGTTTTAAATCTCCTACGAATTATCTTGAGGACTAGCGATTATTTCTTCTTGTTCTCAGAAAGAGGTCCACTTTATCCCTTGACATCACGCGTCTCACCACGGAATTCCGGGTAAGAGAGATAGTTAAATATGGCGCTGACTTCCCGTAGACTTTCTCAGTGTTCTTTCCACGCCCTAACAGTGGTTGAGCAGGACCCTTTACTTTATAGTAATTAATCACTGTTTCCACTGCCTACCCAATGTCAGATTACAAACATCAATTCTAGAAACGCCATTTCAGCCCAATCTCTTGGGCTGAACGGACGGTCTCGCTTCACGCAGGTCGGTGTTCAATCCCCGACCGTCCAAGTGGTTAGGTTAGGTGCCTTCCCCCCCCCCCCCCGTCACATCCCAAATCCTTATCCTGACCCCTTCCAAGTGCTATATAGTCGTAATGACTTGGCGCTTTTCTTGATAATTCCCCCCTCTCCAGAAACACAATTCCAGCTTTATAGAACCACCAGTTGCCAACCAATTCTCCAGGCCGGCTACTTAAAACCTGTCTTCTTCTTCCTCAGGACCGCTGTAGCATACTGTGTCACTACAGCCTTTCTCCTCTCAAAGGCAAAACAACTTCCTCAGCGGCCATGAAGCCAGTCACTCCACATTCAGACAGTTAATTTGAATTGACTTGGAGTTGAGCACAATGTCAACTTGAACGGATATTTGATCATCATGGCGCCATGTTTTACGGTGTTTGGGCCTCTCAGAGATAAGTCAGAAAAGTGATCGGGCCTCCCAAGGCCATGTGTAGAGAGTGCTTGAGCCTCCGAGCGCAAGGTTGAAGGACGAGCTCTATTACATCTCGCCCATGTCATTAATTCCCCAGTAAATGTCCTCAGAGCTCTTGGAGTTCAATTATTGCATGTGTAGGTACGCGGAGAACTGCAGCAACATTTGTTTGGTGGTGGGCACGAACCAGAAAATTGATTTTGAATTAGAGAAGTGCCAGCACAAGCTCACCTGCAGGTACCCGGACCCAACACTCCAACAAGGAAAGTTACAAGTATATGATCACAATGCCTGCAAATTCAATGATAATATTTTGTCTTTTTATTGAACCGCTTTCCAATATTGGGATTCTTACTCATCTAAAAGGCTTCGTCCTTTCTTTCCCGATAGTATAATAATTATAATATATATATATATATATATATATATATATATATATATATATATATATATATATATATATATATATATATATATTATATATATATATATATATATATATATATAATATATATATATATATATATATATATATATATATATAATATATATAATAATGGTTGGTTATCTTGCTAGGTCGTTAGCAGATTGAATTGAAGGAAGACTGACTGTCGGATTTGCTGATTAACGAGCTGTCTGATAACAGGACTTAAGGAATAATCATTGCATTGTCTGTCTGCATATTTCTAGACTATCCGTAAGTATTCAGACTTATGAACTGACTGCTGGATGACTGATTTACGTGACTGGCTAACTGTCTTTGCGTCTGTTAGCTAACTTCCAGACTGAAGGGCCGCCTGCCCGACCATCCTGGGATGGAGTCCTTGAACAAGAAGAGGTCTTTAAAAATGACTCGGTGTTTGTCGAGTTCCTGAGCGAGCGAGCGAGAGAGAGAGAGAGAGGGTCTCTCGCTAAGCCGCTCCGCCTCGTCAGCTCATCTCGTTACTAAGCTGACTCAAGCTTCACAGTGTTTGCTGCAGGCTTCTCTGGCTTACTCGACCGTTAAATGTAGCTCAAGGTGGAGGAGACAGAGATGAAGCGCCGCTCAGTCGAGTTAGGTCCTGTGTGTTCCCTGGTTCATAGTCGACTGGGGTCACGTGTACACAAGTGCCCGATAGACTGGGGTTCCAGGTGTACAAGTACCCAGTAGACTGGGGTTCCAGGTGTACAAGTACCCAGTAGACTGGGATCCCTAGTACACAGGTACCCAGTAGACTGGGGTCTCGTGTTCAGTATAAAGTTCAATATGGTTCACTGGCGACCAGTTGGACAATACAAGAAACAGTCCACAAAAGTCTTCACGAAGCATGCATCACCCGGGCGAAGACTGGCAGGAAAATACAATAACAGAATGACTGTCTTCAGAACTCCCTAACAGTTATATTTTTCCCCTGACAAAAACAAGTAATTCGCCCACATGATGTATGTTGGTGTCTCTGTTGGGGGAACTGGTGGCGGGGGGAGGGAGACTGGTGGGGAGGGAGGAGGGGGTTACTGGGGGCGGGCGGGGAAAGAGCTGGTGATGGGGAGGGGGGAGGAGCTGGGTACTATGGTCCTGTCTCGCTGCTCTCCAAGAAAAATATAAATATATGTTGATTGGTATTTGCAAAGTCTTAGTGGAAGCATTAGTCCTAATATTCTCACACACACACACACACACACACACACACACACACACACACACACACACACACACCTCATGGAGGCCTCGTAGCCTGGTGGATAGCGCGCAGGACTCGTAATTAAGTGGCGCGGGTTCGATGCCCGCACGAGGCAGAAACAAATGGGCAAAGATTCTTTCACCCTGAATGCCCCTGTTACCTAGCAGTAAATAGGTACCTGGGAGTTAGTCAGCTGTCACGGGCTGCTTCCTGGGGTGTGTGTGTGTGTGTGGTGTGGAAAAAATAGTAGTTAGTAAACAGTTGATTGACAGTTGAGAGGCGGGCCGAAAGAGCAAAGCTCAACCCCCGCAAACACAACTAGGTGAATACAACTAGTTGAATACACTCTCTCTCTCTCTGTCTCTCTCTCTCTCTCTCTCTCTCTCTCTCTCTCTCTGCGTTTTTTGAGAATTGCATTCTCAAAAGAATGCTTTTTAAAGTCATGTTATTAAGTGTTATTGACGTTGGGAGAAAAAATCATTTATTTCTTCAGTTATAATGACAGGAACAGAAGCTGTGACCAAACGTCTTTAGACTGTTCTTGAGCCGAGACAAACAAGCAGTGACCAGGAACAGCTCCTACTTGCAACTCTCTCTCTCTCTCTCTCTGGAACACCCCCATCTTTCCATCAGGAATTTTTCCACTTGAAGTATTCTTGCCCGGGGTAAGCCTTCTTGGGATTTTTCCTTTGTTTAATTTTTTTTATGGAAACAGCCTTCTGGAACACCTCTCACAGTCAACATTTTCTGGAAATATCCACTTTGAACACTTCACGCCAGCTGCATTTCCAGGAAACCTCTGCCAGAAAGACTTTCATCCCGCAACATTTCAGGTGGAAACATCCACCTGAAAGACTTCTCTCCAGCAACATTTCCAGGAAACGTCCACCTGAAAGACTTCCCTCCAACAACATTTCCTGGAAACATCCACCTGAAAGACTTCTCTCCAACAACATTTCCTGGAAACATCCACCTGAAAGACTTCCCTCCAGCAACATTTCCTGGAAACATCCACCTGAAAGACTTCCTTCCAGCAACATTTCCTGGAAACATCCACCTGAAAGACTTCTCTCCAACAACATTTCCTGGAAACATCCACCTGAAAGACTTCTCTCCAACAACATTTCCTGGAAACATCCACCTGAAAGACTTCTCTCCAACAACATTTCCTGGAAACATCCACCTGAAAGACTTCTCTCCAACAACATTTCCTGGAAACATCCACCTGAAAGACTTCTCTCCAACAACATTTCCTGGAAACATCCACCTGAAAGACTTCTCTCCAACAACATTTCCTGGAAACATCCACCTGAAAGACTTCTCTCCAACAACATTTCCTGGAAACATCCACCTGAAAGACTTCTCTCCAACAACATTTCCTGGAAACATCCACCTGAAAGACTTCTCTCCAACAACATTTCCTGGAAACATCCACCTGAAAGACTTCTCTCCAACAACATTTCCTGGAAACATCCACCTGAAAGACTTCTCTCCAACAACATTTCCTGGAAACATCCACCTGAAAGACTTCTCTCCAACAACATTTCCTGGAAACATCCACCTGAAAGACTTCTCTCCAACAACATTTCCTGGAAACATCCACCTGAAAGACTTCCCTCCAGCAACATTTCCTGGAAACATCCACCTGAAAGACTTCTCTCCAACAACATTTCCTGGAAACATCCACCTGAAAGACTTCCCTCCAACAACATTTCCTGGAAACATCCACCTGAAAGACTTCTCTCCAACAACATTTCCTGGAAACATCCACCTGAAAGACTTCCCTCCAACAACATTTCCTGGAAACATCCACCTGAAAGACTTCTCTCCAACAACATTTCCAGGAAACATCCACCTGAAAGACTTCCCTCCAACAACATTTCCAGGAAATACTTCCAACTCACTCCTGGTAATATTTTATCCTCTATCATTTTTTCCCTGATCTATTAATCTTCGGATCTCTTCTCACTTTCAAGTCTTCCATTATAGCGTCTGTTCCTGGAGAAAGTGTTCAAGCAAGCAACTAACCCTAAGTGACGCCCACTGATCCTGGAAATACAAATTATCTGAAAGATAACTCATCTCAGCCCACATGGCCATTAGAAACACATGTTCAAGATATATGTGGGCCATTATAGGAGAGCATTAGAGTGAGTGTTCTTCACTCGGAGTGTGGAACCAGTTACACTATACCTCATATGTGGAACCAATTACGCTATACCTTATCTGTGGAACCATTTATACTATACCGTGTCTGTGGAACCAATTATGCTGTCCTTTATCTGTGGAATCAGTTACACTATACCTTATCTCTGGAACCAATTACGCTATCCTTTATCTGTGGAATCAGTTACGCTATACCTAATCTCTGGAACCAATTACGCTATCCTTTGTCTGTGGAATCAGTTACGCTATACCTAATCTCTGGAACCAATTACGCTATCCTTTATCTGTGGAATCAGTTACACTATACCTTATCTCTGGAACCAATTACGCTATCCTTTATCTGTGGAACCAATTACGCTATACCTTATCTATGACGTGCGATAGAAATACTCCCCCGTAGTTGTGTAAACACCTAATCATTCATCTTGAGGGTGTACGTCCTCTCCTCCCTTGGGTGTCAACACTTTAGGATCAACTAGGAACAACTTTAGCACATCAAACAGGAAGAGAAATGAATGCAAAATTATTTTAAATGCGGTTTATTTGTGCAGTATATTCTCTGCTGGTCTAGGGTCTGCTGAGAGGGTCTCTTCTCCCTTTCTGCTGGTACAGCATCTGCTGACCGGGGCGCCGCCTCCTTTTCTGCTGGTCTATGATCTGCTGAATGGGGTTGCTCCCTTCATCTGCTGGTACAAGGCCTGCTGACCGAGGTTCCTCCCCTCGAGCTATTGGAGTTAGTCGACGTCCTGATGGTCAACAGCATAGCCACATTGAGGCCAACTCTCTTCCATTTCCGACATGAAATAACCCACTTAAGGCCTGAATGGTCGGTGAAAACACTCATGAAAACATTTTCCTCCTACACGCTGCCCTCCCCTGCCTTCCACCCTGCCTCCCTGACACCTGCCTCCTGCCATACCCCGGCGATGAGAGAGGAAAGCAGGAAGGAAGAGACCATTGGGAACGGTGAATGAAGAGAGACAAGCAAGCATTCTGACACAGACAGACAGACAGACAGACGTAAGGACAGATATAACGATAGACATTAAGATAGACACAAAGACAAACTTATAGACAAACAGTAATACAGACAAACATGGATAAACACTAAATTAAATTAGTTTTATTTAGTATGCACTTCACAAGGAGAAAGTGTTGACAAGTTTATAAACAAACTCTAACACACATAATAACAACAACAATAACAATTAAATTAATGATGATAACAAAAGAGTGTGTGTGTCTATCACCAATTAATGATAGACATGTTTCGACACAGACAATTTAGGCTCTAAATTTGGACAATTTAGACATGTTTCATTGAATGTGACTGTACATTCCGTGTTGATTATTTGCTTGTTTAAAGTTTCTATCACTCTGTCTATAGTGCTCTGGCTCTTATCTATCACTAATTAGCGATAGATTAATTAGTGCTTGTCTAACTAAATTTTGTTTAGAGGAGAGTAACTTTGCATGCAGATTTGATATAGAAATCTTCTATATAAACATACCATCTTGGTTTACTATAATCTAGCTAGATCGCAAGGCTATAGCCAAGAAGAAGCCTAAGAGCAGATTGAGTTTCTCCCCATATTGAGAGCATGATACATAAAAATAGATTTGTCCTAAAGCTTCAAATTCCATTCAAGGATATTAAAACGTATGTTAGACAAACAAAAAAACGCACATTTATTCATAATATAAGTACGAGTGAAGCATCTATTGCAACAGATTTTATGTGTTGTTGTGTGTGTCTGTGTGTGTGCTTGTGGGACAAAAACAAAGGCAATAGGGTGTTGTTCGTTTAGGCCAACGAATCGTTTCCCAATCGAAAAAAATGTCGCACGTACATACTGACTATTGTATATGAATACACTTGAAGAGATATAAACACACTTCCACGCAATCTCAATCTCTCTCTCTCTCTCTCTCTCTCTCTCTCTCTCTCTCTCTCTCTCTCTCTCTCTCTTTCTTTCACTCACAAATTAACAGAGGATATAAGGAACTTTTTATTTCCTAGAAGTTAGGAAATAAGGAAATGTTTTTTAACAATGTTAACTTATAAGAGGAACCATAACTGAGGAGGATTTCAATACATAACAAAATAAACGAGACAGTTTCCAGAGATGGTCTGAAAAACTACTACTGGACTTCCAAGCTTATTAGGAAAGGAATATAAGCAGGAAAGCCTATAAAACAGCATAGAATGAAGGGAAGACAGCTTCCCACGCCAGAAAATTATAAATATTTGGATCTCATCAGCCGAATAACATCCCAGTTAGGCCAACATCCGGATTACTTTCAAGAACTGGGAGAGTGAAGCCTTCCAAGCGATTTATACATCCCCATATGAGACCCATTCTTGAGTATTTGGACCCGGCATGGAACCTCTTCTTAAATACAAACTCAAATTGAAGAAGGTCTGTAGATATTTAACAAGCCTCCTTCCTGCATTAAAGCGACAGCTCTGAAGAATGACCAAGGCACCTACAGCTCAGGAAAGGATCTGTAGGACAGACGTGATAACGATAAACAGTGTTAAAAGGAGAACTAACCAAGTAGTGAGAAGCAATGCTCAAAATACCAGTAAAACGAGGACACATAAAGGGAAAATGACACACAAAATTTTTTGTGTGTCATTTGACACGCAAAAAATTGTGTGTCCAAATGAGTCCTCTGACTCATTTGGTCACACAAATGAGTCAGATGTCAGAAGGAACTTCTTCAGATTAAAAAAATAGAGTTAAGAAAAAGGAATGGAAGAATAGGAAGATGCCAAGGTCAGTTCGATACACCTCGAAGTGGAAGAGGTGACTTCAATTAATAAGTCCACATTTGTACATAATGCCACCATGCCCTAGTGATGGGTCTTCGGCTCCTCAATCATCCTCGTAGTCTGAGTGTGTAACTGCCTGGGTTGAAGGTTGAAGGAGACTCTTCCTCTTGGGTGCCGTCGGAGGTCGATTCCTCTTAAAGAATCCAGCCTGAGATAAAACACAGAAAAAGATGTACTAGTTGATACTGAAGAGCCCGAGTACAGGGTCAAAGATTAAATTGGTTCAATGGACAATTTCAGGTATTTAACTAGAGCGAGAATAAATAATAATGTTCAATTATATATTTAAAATATAATAAATAATTACCTTCCACAGCTCTGTCTTACCTTCCACAGCCCAAACTTATTTTCCAGGGCAAAGTCTTACCTTTCGAAGACTTTTCAGAGAGACGTCTTACCGTCCAGAGCCCAATCTAACCTCCCATAGTTCAGTCTTACCTCACAGTGTCCAGTCGTACCTTTTTCAGAATTGAATTCTACCTAGAAAAGTCCATTCTCATTTTGTCCGAGTCCAGACTTACCTTGGAGAGGCCGAAAACTATGAGGATGACCAGGAGGACAGCGAAAGCCACAGCTAGGAGGAGAATCCAAAGGGGCACATCCCGGAAACTTTGGGGTTTCTGGTGGGTGAGGAAGATGGGGGAAGCAATTGGTTAGCGTAGGAGTGGGAGTGGGGGGGGGGATGTGTGTGTGTAAGGATGTTGGATAACGGGAGGATGTTACCTGTTATGTGGCAGGAGTCTGTGTTAATGTTTACCTCCTGCCCTCCTCTTCCTTCTCCTTCTCCTCCTTCTCCTCCTCCTCCTTCTCCTCCTTCTCCTCTAGATGTGTGCCTTTATGTGCATTATGTATGTCCAGGGGGTCGAGACGGAATGAGTTGGGCTTCACACACACACACTGAGGCTTAAACTTTCAAACATAAATGAGTGAAAATACACGCTCCACACAATGTCTTTTTGTTAAAAAAAAATTATAATAAAAACAAAATTTGCATACAAATGTATGTAAAGAGAATTGAAGAAGTTTAGATCTGAAGATTACCTGAGGCTTTTGTAAGAAGATCTGAGTTACTGCCGTGACTCTGGGGTTGATAATTGTAGTGTTGGTCTGCTTCACCTCCACCAACATCTCCGACGCCACGCTCACGCTCCTCACCGGCATCTGACCACCACAAGAACGTGAGAATTAAGAAGACTGAAGTTCCGGTCCCATCTCAAAAGGAGCTGCCTCCTATTGTCCCCTATAGAAGGCAGCTCAAAAATTATAATCAGCAAAACTCATTTACTAATAGTAAACTAACCGTACAAGATAGACAATATGAAAGACAATCCTGGGGAGAGCCAGCATCCTGGGTCACCCCAGGATGCTGGCTTCATCCTGGGTTAACCCAGGATGCTGGCAATCATCCTGCTTTAAAAAAATTATCTTAGATATATCACGGCAGTATGATTTCCATGTGTAATGGGATAGAATATACAGTAGTTATGTTATTGTGTATTTAAATGTATAATTATTATTATTTGTATTGTGTAATAATCCAGAGCTTTCCGGGTAAGAGAGGCAGGAGGAACAAAAAATCCATAGGTTGGGATATTTAGTTTTCTTGTGATTGAGAGGAGAGTGAGGGGAAGAGGTGTGTGTATTGTGCTTACCTATCTTGACCTGGGAATTAGAAGAAAATCGGGTACAGCTCCTGGACCCGACCTGGCCATCCCTACATCTCACATGCTACGTCTCTTATATTCCTTTATCCCCTCATTCCTCTTCCACTCTTCCTTTCCTGGATATGGTGTCCTATCTATCCACCACCTTCCTTATTATATCTCTTCCCAGTCTACCTTACCCTACTTCCTTGTACGTGAGGGAGGGGAGGACTGAGGGGTGAGGGAACTCGAGTCGCTTCTCTCAATGGGACAGGTGGTGAGTGGGGGGACCTCCATGCAGTCTATCTTCTATTCTCCAGCTGTTTTGCTACTCTGTGACCTATAGTGGCACCGGTGCCAGTGCCAGCCGACCAGGCACTGGCACTTTAAGGGGTAAGTACGGGTGTATTTTTATATGTGTTCACCTAGTTGTGATGGCGGGGGCTGAGCTTTGGCTCTTTGGTCTCTCTGGTTTGGTTGTGTGTGTGTGTGTGTTTGACATTAGTGTCAGTGACTTAAGACTGCCTCTAGACTGACCTCACTGACTGCTGCAGTAATCAGGTGACTGGAGAAAGACACAGACACAGTCGCCTCCGCCTCCAGCAGCCCCACCTCACACCTGCACACAGTCAACACTTACAGTGGGGCCAAAAGTAATCACTTTCAGCTTCAATAGTTCCAGTCCATAGTTAATTAACATGAATAAAGTTGATTTTATGGTATTTTGTTCAATGCTTAATTCTACAGTCTACATTATCTCAATTATAGAACCCTTTTGCCTAGTCAAGGTCATCACACGTGACCTTAGTGATCAGAATCTTCGTAAGAATCACCAATCAAAAAGGTCAATAATTACAAAAGCTCAATTTCTAACAATCGTCCAGAGGAGACAACCATCAACAAAATAAAGAACTCGACCCAAATATGAGAAATATTGCAGATGTTTCGGCTCGTCCTGAGCCCTTATCAAGTCCTGAACCCTTATCAAGTCCTGAACCCTTATCAATTTCTGAGCCCTTATCAAGTCCTGAACCCTTATCAAGTCCTGAGCCCTTATCAAGTCCTGAACCCTTCTCAGGTTCTGAGCCCTTATCAAGTCCCGATCCCATATCAAGTCCTGAACCCTTTCGACTGGTGATAAAGAATACTGAGGAGTGAGAGTCCAGTCATATCCAGTTTGTTGATATAAGATATAAAACTCTCATACATTTTCAACGTTAATAGAAACTGTATATACCATATCGAGAGGTCCCTGGTTCAGTCCCGGTCGCCCCCACTCCCTTGGTTTAGGAGGCCTGGTCGACGACCGGGCCGCGAGGACGCTAAGCCCCGGAAGCACCTCAAGGTAACCATTTAGCGGGATTATTTCAATTATATACATCTAATATGCTGCAACATTCACTAACCAGATCAAAATTCTTATGTTGCTTCTGATCATCCGTTGCGCCGTTTTACTGGATAGGAAACCCACTGTACGTAAATTTCACACAAATAAATGTCTTCGAAAAAGTGTATTTTTCAGAGGGAAACACGACTTATGTGGCAACTATGCCTAAAAAGCACAACATACACACATTAGTAAGAAAGACACGTATACATATGTATGATTCACGTTAGGGTGCACACGTATACATATGTATGACTCACGTTAGGATGCACTTGGTCAGGTTGCAGAACAGGGGCTTGATATGGTCGTCCTTCGAATACAATCTGCAAGGTCAAGCTCAAGTAAGTTCCAAATTGTAGGATTTTGGAGGTGTGGAGGATTTTTGTCGTGTGTTTGTGTACATGCATGAGGGATTTTTTCCTGTATGTTTGTGTACATGCATGAGGGCTTTTTCCTGTATGTTTGTGTACATGCATGAGGGCTTTTTCCTGTTTGTGTACATGCATGAGGCTTTTTCCTGTGTGTTTGTGTACATGCATGAGGGCTTTTTCCTGTGTGTTTGTGTACATGCATGAGGGGCTTACTTAACTATGCACATTGTTACTGTATATCCCTTTGTTTATGAGTCTCGGTGTCTAGTATGTTACACACACACACACACACACACACACACACACACACACACACACACACATACGCACTCACGCAATTCTCACCTCTTGTCCCGTAGCTGTGTGGTGTGGTTGGGAGCTGGAGACGCCACAACAGATTGGTTGGTGAGCATATAAGCCGCCTCGTCATACTCCTGAGGCAGGACATGGCGACGACGGATTTCTGAAAGATTGTGGGAATGTCAAGGTCTGTGTCTGTAACGTTACATAGTGGCTATCACTCTGGAAAAAGACTGTTTGTGGAATCTATGTCTGTGTGTACCTTGACGACAGCATGTACGACTGACCAGCTGTGTTATTATCTAGAAGGTAGTGAGTACGGGTGGCCAATGGTTTTTTTTTATCTGGTAGGCAGTGGGGTGTGAGTCAATGTGCCCTGGAAAGTACTGTGGGAGTGGTGTTGTAAAGGGTTCTGCACTTATAAGAAATAAAGCTGCCAGAATTTACACATACTGGGTATTGACCTCAACACTCTGCCAATGAGCTTGCTCTATTTATTGCAAGACATAGATAGTGAAGTTATTTATGTTGACATAAGTGGACTATTGATACCGCTGACTTGTGATTTCCACCGAAACTCTCCTTTTTTTAGATACTCATTAGTCCAGGGAACATTTCCTCAAGATCTGAAATGTGGGAACGTCGCTGGAGTCTTCAAATGAGGCGAAAGTGCAACAGGAAACAATGGAATAATGAGCCTCACTCACTCATCACGGTTGAAATATTCCACAATGTCATTGCTGTTGTGCACAACAGCACCACATCGCTGTTTTGTAATCAAATCTTACTCTCAACAGCGAGTGTGTCCTGGAGTGTGAAGCTGTTATTGTCTTACCTCGACCGTCGGTGGCATTAGCCCCGTCAGTGAGAGTGTCCTGGGGTGTGAAGCTGTTGTTGTCTTACCTCGACCGTCGGTATTAGCCCCGTCAAGCTGTCTTGTGAAGCTGGTGACAGGGAAGACTGTGGTGTTGTCAGGCCCGACGGTGGTAGAGTCAGAGTCTGTGGTTTTAAACACGCCAGTCTCCTGTGCGACGGAGGGCTGAACATGGAGAAAGGAAATTTAGTGTTTGAGCTCATCAGGAAGGTATCGATATCAGTATCATATTGTGTTTGTAGTATTGAGATGGTTATGAAGTGATTGAAGTAGTAGTAGAAGTGTTGTGATAACTGTGGTAGAAGTTTCTGAAGTATAAACAATAGTAGTAGTTGTGGTAGAAGCAGCAACTGTGATGGTAGTATTAATAGCAGTAGTAGTAATAGCACATAGCATCAAATGTCACAGGTAGGAGGCCTGGTCGACGACTGGGCCGCGGGGACGCTAAGCCCCGGAAGCACCTCAAGGTAAGGTATGGTAGGCTCAACATGCAGGTGAGAGTAGTTACAGACGTCAAGGCAGTCACCATATCTTACAAGTCATTCTAAACAAACCAATAATATCTTCTACTGAAATTTTTCATAGATAAGACTCTATGCTTTTCGTATATCAACTGCAATTTACTTTTCAGCTTTAAGCTTGAACAAGGTGGACTTTGACGACAATTTAGACAGTCATCTGAAGAATGTTTTAAGGAACAGCAACATGTCTTAAATAAATGTAGTATATTAGTAACCCCAGACACACAATGTATTTGCATCTCGTCAACTTAAATTTGATGGATTATTAATAAAAATATAATTCAAACGCCAAAAGGACTTTGTGTGAAGAACGTTGATTACTACCTGCAGGTGGAAAGGGTTGGCGGGAAGGATGGAGCAGGTGACCTGGGACGGGATGACGGTGGGCTGCTCCATGTGGTAAGTCAGCAGCTGGTCATCGTGGTAGAGAGGCAGCTGGAACACCAGCTGGGGAAAGGGAAGAGTAAGTCAGCAGCTGGTCATCGTGGTAGAGAGGCAGCTGGAACACCAGCTGGGGAAAGGGAAGAGTAAGTCAGCAGCTGGTCATCGTGGTAGAGAGGCAGCTGGAACACCAGCTGGGGGAGGGAACAGTAAGTCAGCAGCTGGTCATCATGGTAGAGAGGCAGCTGGAACACCAGCTGGGGAAAGGGAAGAGCTGGTCAACCTCGCCTGTTTCTACAAAACCCTCAAAGCCACCGCATGAACTGAATTACAGCTTCCAGGACCTCCAAGCCGTCAATGAACTGACCTTCCAGCTCTGACACTCCAGGACGGCTCATCAGCTGTCAGGACTCTCCTGACGCAGCTGTGACTCTCCAGGACGTCTCATACTCCAGTCATCAGCTATCAGAACTCTCCTGACGCAGCTGTAACTCTCCAAAAAGGCACATACTCCAGCCGTCAGAACTCTCCTGACGCAGGTCTGACTGACGGAGCAAAAGTCTTCTCAAATGTTACTTGTCTTTCTCTGATGGTTCAGACCTATACGCCCTGGTGACCTCTGCGACATGACCTTGTCTCACCCTAACTATCCCTGACCCGACAGGTTGTGACCTATGCTGCCCTGGTGACCTATGCTGCTCTGGTGACCTATGCTGCCCTGACTTACCCTGGCCCCGAAGACGGGACTCGGGCCACGGTTGGTGAGAGAGAACTCGTGCAGGAGATGAGGCCCGAGCTTGTTGACCGGAAAGGAGGTGTCGGGATCCTTCTTGGCCTTCTGCAGCTCCTGGCTGGAAGTCGTCTGGTTGACCACCACCGTAGCGCTCTCCAGGACAGAATACCTGAAGGAAGAAGGTGACCAACCTGTCATCTGAGGCCCACCTTTGAAACCAATTTGAATGATTTTGTTTGTTCTTGCTCTCTCTTTCTCTCTCTCTCTCTCTCTCTCTCTCTCTCTCTCTCTCCCTCTCTCTGTCACTCACGCCTTGGTGTAGAGGATGGCCTTGAGGACGACGGGGACGCTGACGGTGACGTGGTTGTTGTGGGCGTTAGTTTCCGCCTCGGTGTCGCTGGTGACGCCGAGGGTCAGCTGGAGGGCGGAGGAGGAGCGGGAGGTCAAGTACGCCAACATCTGCGCCGCGTCGTACGCGAAGTGCAGAGTGAAGCTTTCCTGTAGTGAGGGAGAAGAGCATTAACACGGCAGCTACACTCCCAGTGTTGGGGGGGGGGGCTAGCCTGCCTCACTACCAGTGTTGGAGCCCTACCCTGCCTCTCACCCAGTGTTGGGGGGCCTACCCTGCCTCACTACCAGTGTTGGGGGCCTACCCTGCCTCACTACCAGTGTTGGGAGGCCTACCCTGCCTCACTACCAGTGTTGGGGGCCTACCCTGCCTCACTACCAGTGTTGGGGGCCTACCCTGCCTCGCTCACCCAGTGTTGGGGTGTGGAACTTGGCGTACAAGCGCCCTGACCTGAGACATATGTCTAAAAAGTTAAATAACTAAATTTTGGGTTCAGGTCATCCCCATTTTGGCGGGAGAGAGAAAGAGGGCCCGAGGCAGTGGTCCAGGCCAGACAGAAACCGGACCGCGGGGCTGTGATCCCCGGAAGCTACACAAAGTAGACAGGTGGTCAGATAATTGACAGGTCAAAATGAGGCGGCCAAGTTGTTAGCCAATCACAGCACGGAACGAGGCTGGCCCGGGCAAGGTTATGTAAGAGGTGACACTTGGCGCCAAGCTGTCAGACGCCCCAGGATGGGGGTGACGGTTGTCACTCTTCTCTTTGTTATTGATTGATGAAGATTAAGCCACCCAAGAGGAGGCACGGGCATGAATAGCCCGCAATCTTTGTCACTGCCGCTCATATGTGTATGTGGAAGGTTGACTATTTTGGTGTTATTAGCTCGGTAAGTAAGAGAGAGAGTAGTTAATTAAGTGAATTATTCCAGGAAAGAATATAATTGCTCTCGGCAGCAACTGATCACCATCTCTGCTGTGTCTTCAGCTTACACCATCGACTCACCATCTCATCAGCGTCAATGAATTCAAAGATGCAGGTGAGGGAGTCGGCGATCTGGTTGACGAGTTGATGATAACTGCAGGAGGGGATCCTCCCTTCCCCCTCCACCCGCTGGAACTCGAGTCCCTCTGGATGGCGGATCTCAACCTCCACCTTGTAGCCGGGGTCGTCCTTGACTGTAAGCTCCACCTCCACCTCCACCAAGTCCTTCCCCAACGTCACCGGGCGTCTGCTCGAAAGAAGAGTGAGCAGACAACATTATTTAAGCGACTTGACGGTGGGGGGAGAGAGAGAGAGAGAGAGAGAGAGAGAGAGAGAGAGAGAGAGAGAGAGAGAGAGAGAGAGAGAGAGAGAGAGAGAGAGAGAAAACGAGAGACAAATAGATAATAAAATCAGCAAACGGCCGGAGAACAGGAGAGAGAGACAATCACTTACGTGTAGGCAACTATCTGCAGGTCGGGCTGGGCGAAGCAGGTGGTGTTGTCGTGGCAGAGAAGTGTAGTGTTGGTGGTGAAGGTGGCGCTGGCGGCGTCTAGCACCGGGGGAACTATCGTTACCTCGTCCTTCCCGTCGTCAGCAGCAGGAACTAGACTCACAGTGACGGAGGCACTCAGGCTCTGGCCGATGTTGGACCTCACTCGCTGCCACCAACACGTCACAAAATATACGAGTAATTATATGAACTTATATAAAAAGGTTTCAGAGAGTCAAAGTGCTGGCAATATTGTTGAGAAAGAAAACGTGAGATAAGACTTTGTTTTGTAGATGATGTTTTGCCCATAAGACTTCATAAGACTTGACAAAGATACACATCAGTAGTGGTTATGAAGGAGCAAAACGGAGGAGGTTAGAGGTTAGTGAGGCGAAGGTTGTGTCAGGTCAGAGACGGATTATGTGTTACTACTGATGTTTTGTAAGTATTAATTTAGAAGAGGTAGCTATAGTGGTTGATGGCTGCAATGTCTAGACTCGTCTTCAAATGTTTTTTTTATTTTCTTTGATGAAGAGTTCAGCATCCCTGATGTCCACAAGGTGTTGCTTCTGCATCCTGAGTGTGACTCAAACATTCTTGTGTTATCAAGACGTGGCACATCAATCAACAAAATTTAAATCCTCCTCCTCACTTAAACGAATAAACCAGACGACCATAAAAGGTACACATTAATTCATAAATTGTTTCATAAATAAATAACCATTAATCAATAAATTAAAAAAAAAAAAAACTCGAATAAAACTAATGATTAAAATAAAGACTTCCCTTGACCAGTCATTATGTAAGATGACTACTGACCTTGTAGAAGGCCTGGACCGACCAGGGACTGCGCTTGTCTCTGAAGTTGACAGTGCGCACTGGCGCATACCTGTAATACATAATTGCAGGTACAAAAATAATTCAAACTACAGCAATATAACCAAATACAACTATTGTGTTTGTCTGTACGTACGAATATTCATGATCCTTTGTGTATATATTCATATACATATCTTCCACCCTAGACGGCCTAGAGAATACTAGTGTCTTAAAAAATATCATCATTGGTATGACAACTTTTGTTCCAAAGTTTCTTGTTATCCAACTTGTCATTTGTCTTGTAGCTGCTTCAGTTAATTCATTAACATCTAATTATTTTTGCAGAGTTGTTGGCCTATGGGGGCAAGGGTTGTCTTGTCAACCTGTGATGGTGCCCATACCCTGGGCACTATGTACCAGCCGCAGAATTAAATACCCCGGCGGGTGATAATGGCGTACAAGATGAGCAGCCAAATGACGTCTTGCACAAGAGACGTGACAGAACCTCGACATCACAATCATTGAAAACTGTAACTGGCGATTGTCTGAAGTCATATTCCTTGGAGCTAATTGTCTTTTTTATCTCTCAACGATGCCTTGAAGATCCCTCTTTCCAGTGTCTCACTTCTAGGCCACTGAGAGGCTGTCGTCAGACTAGACAGGGTAGGGCCATGGTAGACCTACATATTCCATACAGCTGCAGAGCTGTAAACACCAGATAACGTCTTATGATGTTACAAGTTCATTTACATATGTCTGTATGCTTCGGCTATTTCCTCATATTATTATTATTATTACACACAGAAATCAATAGAAGCCATGAGGAGTTCTTTAGGGCGTATGCCTGGGAATACCTAGTGTGTAGGTTCGAATTCTCATCATAGCTTCAACTGATTTTCTCATTATTCATTATTATTGTTATTATTATTCTACACACCACTTGTTTTTACTTATTATTGCTAATTAAATCATTGCTATTTATTAATATTGGTATTATTACTGTTTTAAACTCAAAAAAGTTCATTTAACAGGTGTTCGGATTATATTACCTGTGGTCATTGTTGATCTTAAATCCGAACAGTGAGTTGTCCTCAGGTCCCTTCAGCACGATCTTGAACTGCATCCCTGTGTGTATAGTGATAGTAATGGTGGTTGTGGTGGTGATAGGTGGTGGTGGTGATGACTGAGGTGTTGGTGGCTGTGGTGGTGGTGCTGCTGGTAATGTTGATGATATAGTCCCTATTGTGGTGAATTGTGGTAGACTAGGGTATGGTAGTGGTGGTGGCGATGAATCTGACGTTACCATATAAACTATTACACCATCACAGCCGTGAAAACTGTAATGGAAACCCTTCGGACTTTAACTCAATAATTCTGTCAATTTCACCTCTAAGACATGTATCGAAATATTGATGTAATTTGTGACATGATGTAATTAATTTAGCCATTTCATTACAGGACACTTTCGTCAGGTGAAAGAGAATTACCGCCTATTGAACCCTGTTGTTGTCGTACACTTATATCATTGAATGTTATGTGGCTGTCATACACTCATGTCGTTGAACGTCCTGTGGCTGTCATACACTCATCTCGTTGACCGTCCTGTGGCTGTCATACACTCATATTGTTGACCGACCTGTGGCTGTCACGCACATGTCGTTGACCGTCATGTGGCTGTCATACACTCATATCGTTGACTGTCCTGTGGCTGTCATACACTCATATCGTTGACCGTCCTGTGGCTGTCATTCGCACATATCGTTGACCGTCATGTGGCTGTCATACACTCGTATCGTTGACTGTCCTGTGGCTGTCATTCGCACATATCGTTGACCGTCATGTGTCTGTCATACATCATGTCGTTGACCGTCCTGTGGCTGTCATGTACTTACTGAGATCGTTGAACTTCTTGTGGGTATCGTAGGTGAGGTCGACCTCGAGGTTGAAGCAGACGCCCTTGAAGGACCTGTACCCCGCGGCCTCTACCTCGCAGCTGTTGTCCTCGGCCATTATCGTCTCTGAGGCGAAGGTCACACTGCCTACCAACCTGATCACCGGCGCTGACCTGACCACCACCGGGGCACAGCCAGTGGACACCAGGGCACAGTCAGTGGATACCAGGACACAGCCAGTGGGCACCAGGGGCACCAGCCAGTGGGCACCGGGGCATCACCCAATGGGCACCAGGATATGATCCAATGGGAGGAGGAGAAATAATAGACACAAAATGGTAGATAAGTTAATTAGATTATATCTGTATTAACATAACAAACTTAAGTCAACAAATATACACTAACACGATAACAGACATAAACCGCTATCAATAATTTACCTTATCAGCAAGGCCGTGTCCGATTCCACGGCACCAATAATGAGGTCTGGGTAGCCATTGTCATCGATGTCGAGGCCGCCATCTAAGCTGAAGCCGAAGCCACGCATCATGCCCGAGAAAATGGACGCTTCTATCACCTGCGGGATATGTATATTACAGTGCCAATGTAAACATGTATACTGCAGCTATACACAAGCATTCACATATGTATACATCAAACGTATATACAGGGCATAATAATTTAAGTCAGATGAAGGTACAAAACAGTCTGATATATGTATATGTCACTATATCTTCCTATGTGGGTAGACAGCTATCGTAAGCGGTTCCTGTGAGTGGGGTAGACGGGGACCGTCCTACCTGTGAGTGGGGTAGACGGAGACCGTCCTACCTGTGAGTGGGGTAGACGGAGACCGTCCTACCTGTGAGTGGGGTAGACGGGGACCGTCCTACCTGTGAGTGGGGTAGACGGAGACCGTCCACTCCGCCGTTGAAGACATAAACAGCGCCCTGTCCGTTCACACCTGCATAAGGCGCTGCTACTGCAATGTCTGAAACATTTATGTCACATCAGTTTATGTTATAATTGTACACTTTATTATCCTTCGTCATATCTTTTCTCTATTTCCCATCTTTATTATGTATATATTTTGCTACACTCAGTCATGATTAATACTTTATTATACAATATTTTCAGTGCTGCAGAGGAGGCTGTGTAGTACACAGTGAACGGTGTGTGTGTGTGTGTGTAATACTGACCATGATATTCGTCTTGGTCAATATCGCCCAGGGAAGTAATGGCGGCCCCGAAGCGACCCCAAGCCTCCACCCCCGTCAACTGTGTTGGTGGGCGCTTGTCCACGGCCTGAGGGGGAGAGGTGTAGTGAGGGGGGAGAGGTGTGGTGAGGGAGGAGAGGTGTGGTGAAGGAAGAGAGATGTGGTGAGGAAGGAGAGGTGGGGTGAGGGAAGAGAAGAAGGAGGGAGAGGTAGTTGTTGTTGTTTTAGATTCAGCTACTCGGAACAAAAAGTTCCAAGTAGCACGGGCTATGGTGAGCCCATCGTAGGGAGAGATAATTCACCATTTCCTATACACATGAAATAAAGAGGCCCATCACAAAAGATGGTGGTTTTAATAGTCATAATAACAGAAGAGGTTTAATGTGAGACATTTCTGGTTACTGAAAGGTTGTCCATCAAGTTCAAGTACGTTTACCGAGACTATAAAATACATCTCAAAAGGATAGAGTAGCTTAGGCTATTTCTACCCTCCTTCAAAGATTGTACATTCCGATTATTAAGGAAAGAATTGATCTATAAATATATTGGGATATATTGTCTCCATGCCCATGTACATTACACTAGCATCATGGGTCCCTTGCGTGCAGTATTACCATTCCTGCGATCACCGTTACCCCTCATAAAGCTCACTATTCGCAGGTATTCATCCGAGTTTAACGGTTGCTTTACTAACTACAGCAGGTGTTTCTTTATAGTGTCAGCCAATAAGGATATACATATTTGCCTTTCATATTCCCCGACTCCTTCTATAGACCTGTGGTTCTCAACCTTTTATTTTTTTTTTTGCCCCCCCCAGATCTCCAGTCCTAGCAGTAATGTCTACTCAAATTGTTTAGCTTGGTGTTTGGGCTTTGATAGGTCTAATCTGAGTAGTTTAGGTTGAGTGGGAGGCAGAGCTATGTCCGTGAACTACGCTAGACTTATCTCACTCCTGCTGCTCGCGTCACAGCTTTCTTTATAACTCAGTTAAAAATATTATGATTGTATCTAATGTGGATAAAATTGTTGTGATAACAGCTTTGTTAGCTGGACCATTACATGATGTAACTAAATTACTTTTCACTCTCCTGTGATTTAACTGATAGTAAATGAATCTTGTATCATTTTACTTGTTCAAACCTTAATGCACTGAATGAACTCGCTTAATGCAGCTTATACTGTGGATAGAGACTTGACCCTCACGAGAAATAGCACCACAACTATACATCTTATTCTATATATCCACATTACATGTAAAATAATCTCCATAAATGTGTTGTTTTTTTCTTATTGATTTAAGAGCAACGACGTCACAAGTGACGGATGTCGTGTAGGGCACAACTTAAAGCCTTGTGGCTTTATACACGTCGCCTGTCGTTGTTAAAGTTACAGTAGTTTTCCGCCGACGACTGTACCTTTCTGCAGATAAAACACATTGCTGGGCAGGTGTTTGGTGACCCACTGGTGACCCACGGGGAGGCGAGCATCCGACACACACACACACAGCCAGCAGGAAGGCTATCAGTACCTAGTGACCCCAGACGATAAGGCGTGAAGCGTTCTATAAACTCTTAGTGGGTTCAAGAACGCTACGACGTCTCCGGCTGACCTCCGGTAGAAGAGGAGGCAGCTAGATTTACACTACGCCACGATAGCACTCCAGGTCACTAGGCTTTGTATCAGTCCGGGTCGTATAATAGACATGCCTGACCGTAGTATCGAGCCCCAATGGTCAACTCGCGTCCCGGGTTTCAGCAGCCCCCAGGCAGAGCAGGTGTCCGGAGGTCCCCTGGTCGTCAATTATGACCCCAGGTGTCCCACCATGCATGTGGAGCAGGAAATTACAAATCCTGTTCAAGCAATGATCTTCAAAACAATCGAGAAGTTGTCTTTAAATAAGTAAACTATAACTTTAAAATAATATCTAAATAGTTTTCGTTCCTCTTAAACGTCTAAAATAACATAACGTTATATATATGACAAGAAAAAGAATAAATATTTAGCAATGAATAAATCTTTTTCACAACAGGTCGGAGTACGTAAGAATAAGTAGGAATAAGGTCCCACACTAGGCTCCCTGAGAGCACATCACGCTGCTACAGGGACGTCAAGCAAAACAAAAAACCTGAGCTGTCACGAGGGCAGACCGTGGTACCACATTTACATTTTAATGAAAGCAATTAAATATAAATAGTGTCCTGGACTCTATTGTTTATTCATTAATATCAAAACCGTTCACATAACCTTACTTCAAATTTGTGATCAACGCAGTCAGCTCTCAGCCGCTTTGCGCTGTTCTCTCAGCAGTAAATAGCCACTTTGGACTTAAACGATGCTTTCCTAGAAAGACCTTCATAAGCGGAGCAGGTTTTCTGTATCCGACAATGGGATACGAACCCACGCTCACTACACCTCAGCCAGAGCCCTGGGACCTCTCCTCGCCTGCCCAGAGCAGCACACTGCCTCTAAACTCGTAGTCCTTTCACGCTAAATAAATATTACACGGCTCTACGAGTCTCAATTGTCCTTAGTGCGGCGATAATATCACAAGGTTAAGACACAAGTCAAATGGTTATTCAGATAACTATAGAAAGGCACCAAGCCAGAAAGGCTATTTAGAACCGTATCTTATTTGAATAACAGACCATTGACAGAGAAGCAAGCCAGTTGAACAGCTTCCCGTATACCACATACATTTAAGATAAGGGGGGGGGGACTACAACAAGCAATTACGTCCTCATAGACGTAAAACAATACCACAGTTAAAGTGCTTGCTAACTGAGTATTCTAGTAACAATCACCACAGCATTCGCCAAGAGCACCATGGACTTACCTTGACCATGGGAGCGTAATAGACATAAACCTTGCCGGCGTCAGGAAGGAGGGAGCCTGCCACTCCTCCAGCAGACAGAGGAGCTCCCACTAGGAGGTCTGCGGCGCCATCCCCGTCCACGTCTGCTGACCCCAGACAGTAGCCGAAGTGCGCCCCCACCTCCTGCCCGTACACTGTGTATATTGGCCGGATGTTAGCTGTCATCGCCTTCGGGTAGATGTTCACCTGCAGGCAAGTTGGGGTCACAGTAGTTGACTGAGAGATGCCTTGGGGACTACTCTCTTGAATCCCTCTGGCGTCTTGGGATTACTGGGTTGAATCCCTCTGGCATCTTGGGATTACTGGGTTAGATTAGGTACTAGGCTAGATTCGGACTAAATCCCTCTGGCGTCCGAATACTTAAGTCATTGATTTGGGGGTGGTAAGGGTGGTGGTAGTGGTGGTGAGACAGTAGTACTGGTGAGGATTGTGATACTGGTAGTGGTGGTGAGATGGTAGTGACAAGTTGGGGGGGGGGTGCTGAGTGAGTTGATATAACAGGGGGGACAGAGAGAGTGAGTCCATGGTACAACTGTGACAAAATGTTCACGATTTAAATTGAAAGCAACAACAATGGCAGAGACCTGCCCCCCGGGGAGACACAATACACAGTCAGCGGCAGACGACGACTCACCCTGCCGATGTAACTGCCATAATTGACGGTGGAGACAGCGATGGAGTGGCTCCCGTTGTCAAAGTTGCCGAGCACCAGCGCCCAGCCCTCGTAGGAGTCGGTGTGGTCCAGATTCTTGGGCTCCTGAAGACCGCTTGACAAACGGTTCGCGGGGCGCCCTCCTCTGGCCTTGATAGAGCTTGAGAAGACCATTCCTGCCAGGGAGGACGCAGCAGCAGCAATAGCAGGTGGATCAACAGGAACAAAAATGTGTTAATAGATAAACGAAAATCTTAAAACAATAATTATATCAGTTTATGGTTAAATTCTAGCTCCTTGGTTAGACTCAAGCTCTATTGTTAGAGTCTGGCTCTATGGTAAGAATTTGACTTTATAGTTAGTCTGGCTCCTGGGCTAGACTCTGGCTCCTGGGCTGGACTCTAGCTCCTGGGGTAGACTCACTCACCTTCGCCGTTGAAAGCGGTCGGTCCCCCCATCACCACATAACTACCCTGCAATATGCAAAGTTTGCAATGAGTGACACGGACACCAGTGAAGAACCACTACCAAAACATTTGTTATGTTCGTGTATCGCTAAATCCTCCATTATCGTGAGCAAGCACTGTTGTAATGGGCTTCTTGTTTGCACACTTTAATAATTAGGCATTGTATACCTGTCCTGTTAGGGATTGTATTACTGAAATCTTCACTTATATTATGAGAGACTTACATATCTGTACTGAAAAGTTCTTTTCACATCTGTACAATAAGGGATTTTCACATCTATAATGTCAAAGACAAGTATCCCTACCAGAGACACCTGTAACAGGTGTCGTGGGGGCTCACCGTATCGTCCAGAGCAGCACTGAAGCCCAACATGGCGTTCTGGATTGTGTTCAAGATGGGGGTCCGATCTGGGATAGACAAGAACCAAATGGGTCGATTGACAGTGAGAAGTGAATATAGTGTTTGACGGTGAGTAAAGCTGTCAGGTCAGTGTTGTCATACTTACCGCAAGAGGTCAGGTCAGTGTTCTCATACTTACCTCCAGACGTCAGGTCAGTGTTGTCATACTCACCTCCAGAGGTCAGGCCAGTGTTGTCATACTTACCTCCAGACGTCAGGTCAGTGTTGTCATACTTACCGCCAGAGGTCAGGTCAGTGTTGACACACACACCAGACGTCAGGTCAGTGTTGACACACACACCAGACGTCAAGTCAGTGTTGACACACACACACACACACCAGACGTCAAGTCAGTACTCACACTTACGTAGTAAGTAACTAATTCTTAATGAAAGATAATATAACTAGATATTTCAAACGATTATATGAGGTAAACAAATGTGAGGAAGAGTGGACTTACGGGGAAAGGGCAGGTGAGTCTTAGGGTCTGAGTCCGGACTTGTCCTTACAAAACATGCCCCTCGAACCTCTACACTGGCACTTTCATACCTTGGGTAGCGGGGGGCACACGCCTGGGGTAGAGGGGGTGGGGTAAGGAGAAGGATCATTAGAAATAATTTGTTTAGTGTCAGAGTGGTTGATAAATGGAATGCATTAGGCAGTGATGTGGTAGAGGTTGACTCCATACTTGTTAATGGCTATTAGTCTTGGTGACAAAGGTAGAAATTATTAATGAAGGATGTGGATAGTCGTGGTGGTGTTGATAGAGAGGGAGGAGGTGTGTGGCTGCTGGGTAGTTGGAAGTGGTGCTGTTACGGAGGGGCGGGGGAGGTTCTGGCAGTGAGGGATGATTGTGATGATGATGATGGTAGGTGAGTTAGGGTGATAGTGAGAAGAGGTGGTGATATCATTATTATTGTGGTAAACATTATAAACAAACACATACACACAGAGTGACCCAATGAAGGAAATGTTTGCCCAAGCTTGGGAGGACACCAGGAGGGAGATGCGGGAAATGAGGAATACAATAAGCAACCTACAAAGCGAGCTGATAGCAGCAAAGGATGAGATAAGAAGCCTCAAAGAGAACAATACTCAAGCTCAGCATCAGATAATCTTCCCAAAAGAAGATGAAAATGTATCAATGGAAGGGACTGCCACTGTGCATGCAACATTTGCAGAAATGCCGAGAAACGAGCTCAGAAGCAATGTCCACAGCGAAGGAAGTAGCCATGAAAGCAGCTCCCTCACAGGAAGCAGCAAGGTGCACTAGTCAGCTGCTGGATAGAAAAAGATCAGTTGCAGCAGTTGGGCAGTGATAAGAAAATTAAAGAACAGAACGGCTCCAGTAAGACAGAATGGAATGGTAAGGACAGAGTGGTAGTGAAAGAAATACTAAAGGGGTTACAGATGGAAGGGGTTTAACAAAGCATTGATAAGGTTTTCAAGTTAGGGTGGAACAACAAGGACAGAGACCGCCTGATTAATATAGTGTTTACAAACGAGACCACGAAAAAGGAAATTCTAGCAAGGAAGAGCCAACTGCTAAATAATATGAGAGGACACAAAAAAATATTCCTCTAGAGGGAATTCCTCAGTGTGAGAAGAAAAGCAGAGGAAAAAGTATGAAAATTATATAGCAAATAAAGCCAAGTCCGAACCAAAGCTGCTCTACAGTCACATCAGGAGGAAAGGAACAGATGATGAAACTAAGAACCGGTGAGGACAGGTACACAGAGAATGACAAAGAAAAGAGATTCCAGGAGGTCTCCACAATAGAACGAGGTGATGTCCCTGTGCTAGGAGAGGTGGCAGTAAACCAGGCGGCCTTGGAAGGGTTCGAAATTACCAGAGATGAGGCTCAAGTGCCCGCAAACACATACAGATAAGGCCACAAGGATGGGCCACTCTCAGAACAACACAGGATGGGCCACACTCAGGACAACATACATGTAAGGCCACAAGGATGGGCCACACCCAGAATAACATGCAGGATGGGCCACACTAAGGACAACAACTACTCACAGCGAGGAGGGACACATCTTGCTTCAGTGTAGACAAAGAATGACCAAATCCCATGACGTTCTTAGGCCTCCCTAACCCAGCCTTCTTCTCCTCCAGCTCCGCTGTCACCTGCGGATCCCCGAGGACGTTCAGAGCCGCCTCGCTGAAGTCTGACAACACACACACACACAGATGATTAAATTGTTGTTTTCATCAAGATGAGTTCTTAATATTTCCTCTAAAGTTTCCTTGCTTTCCTCATAAAATATATTTCATAAACAATTCACTCAATTACTATAATATATGTTATAAAAATTATCTCTAAAGCCATATTTATTCATTAAAGAGATTTAAGCCATCCGAATGACTGGGTTTATTCTCATAATTTATATGACGTGTATTTATCGTTGAAAAACATGTACTTGAAAGCTTTATTATTAATAAAAGACACAGTTAACGCAAATAGAATTAGAAAAGTAAACACTGTGATATAATAATGATTCTAGGATTATATAATTAGATTATATAATATATATAATATTATTTATTATGTATAATATATAATTGATGATAATATAAATGATCATAATTGGTCATGTTATATCATATAGTCACGCCATCTTTAATAGTCCCGTCATCAATTATAGTTCATATTTATGATGCCTAATTGTCAAGATTTTGTTTGTTGATTTATTTATGTTCTTGACCAAAATTTTTGTTCCTGACTGGGACAAGTCAAGAACTGACTTGTTCCTGACTTTTGTTCTCTCAGCTTTGCTCAAGCTGAAAGACTGACCTAGGCTTAGTTGCCAAATTAATCTTCAAAGATGATTAATAAATTAATCATGTACTGGTCACTTAAGCTGACTTAATTATTATTCCAAAACAATTGGGAAATTATCTAGATATTTGAGCAGATAAATTATAAAATACAATATTGAATGATAACTTAAATTTCTCTACATTACTGAATTAACACCAAGTCTTGGAGAAGAGGGAGGGTGAAGGTGGGGGGGGGGTGAGACTTGGTGGGGGAAGAGACCGGCCTCTTCCTGGCGACCTGACCTAAGGCTTGTGTTTCTTGATTCCCCATCTCTGCTCTAATTCCTGAGGAATGAACCCGTCCCAACTTTCCAAGGCAGAACTACCACTCCACTGCATGTTTTGCTCAAGGGCGTATCCACACTACCTTCAATTCAAGCCACCTATCTTAAACGGCTCAGACTGTTACACTGTTGTGACGGTGTCAGGAGACGTCAGGACTCACCAGCTGTGGAGACGGTGGGGAGCCTGGCGTCAGGTCGACAGACAACGGGTCCGTCAACGTCGCAGAAGAAGATGTTGCCCAAGGTGACCTGCCCTCGCCCCGAGGTGCCGTTCCTACCGCGTGGGGCTCCCACCACCACCCTGGGGAACACCACCAACACTCATCACACAGACTGGCCTCAGAGTTACTGCGTAAATGATGAGTTCATGTGGAGGAAGAAGCTGGGACAGTGAGTGTCTGTGGTGCCATAGACAGTGAGTGCCTGTGGTGCCACAGACAGTGCCTGTGGTGCCGCAGACAGTGCCTGTGGTGCCACAGACAGTGCCTGAGGTGCCACAGACAGTGCACGTGGTGCCACAGATAGTGAGTGTGGTGCCACAGACAATCACTGTTGCTCTTGTTCTAAAGCCTTTCTTTCACTCTTCCTTTATATTACTTATCCTTATCTCTCCTTTCACGTTCCTTCTATTTGGACTACATTTTCTCAATAACATTCCCAGTTTTCCCAGAGATTATGGAGGACAATCTTGGTCTTAATTTTCCCAGTAGAATGTTTAGTTGTATATTGTTGTGTGTAGCTCTCTTTCTCTCTCTCTCTGCATCTTCTCACTAGTGATGTGTTGTCGTCACACAACCCGTCACACAGACCGTCATACAACCCGTCACACAGACCGTCACACAGACCATCACACAGCCCGTCACACAGACCGTCACACACAGCCCGTCACACAGACCGTCACACAGCTTACCTCTTAACACTGGCGTCGTCCGACCAGAGGGCGACGCTGAACCCGAAATGTGAGTTTGGCGGACCGTCCATCCTCCTGGAGTGGGCGGGAGAGAGGTTGTAGCCGCCCACTGGGCGGGGAGCCACCAGCGCCCACACTGCCCACAGGCCGCCCACAACCTGCAGCCAGGCAGGGGCCGCCCTGCCGCACCCCATCATAATCTGAGAGACATAATATTTACAGAAAATAATGAAACAAGATTATTAAATGAATATATATGTAAGTCAACTTGAGGCTAGATATGGTTTCTCATTTGTGTGTGTGGCCTTTGCCTGCTTTTACATATGTTTTACTACATATGTTTTCGGGGATAAGCCCCATCTTCCTATGTTTTTTTCTTATGTTTTATGTCTTATGTTTTGTTCTCGGAGACATACAGTCCCCGTGGCGTAGTGGTAAGACACTCACCTGGCGTTTCGCGAGCGCTTTGTCCTGGGTTCGTATCCTGGCCGGGGAGGATTTACTGGACGTTAATCCATAACTGTAGCCTCTGTTTACCCAACAGTAAAATGGGTACCTGGTTATTAAACGATTTGGCAGGTCGTATTCCGGGGAACACAGGATTAAGGACCTGCCCGAAACGCTACGCGTACTAGTGGCTGTACAAGAATGTAAGAACACTTGTAAATATCAGTAAAATAACAAATATATATGTTTTGCTGTCGACAAGGCGGAAATAGTTATCTAGGCATCCTGTTTCCCAATGATTGGATATCTTCCAGGATGCAACCCACAACAGTCGACTAACTCCAAGGTACCTAATTTACTGCTAGGTGACCAACAGCATCGTGTGTAAGGAACCTCGCCGGAACATCCTTCTCCCTGCCCGAGCATCGAACCCAGCACCGTGCGGTTGCGGTACGACCTACACTAATATCTATAACTGATACAATTAGCCAGAACAACACATTCTATGTTTTTCTAAGCAACTTAAACACGAACTGTCAGCTGAGACGCCGTCCCCTGACGATATTGGAGAGGAAGTCAGTCACACAAAAGTTAGCGTACGATAACACAAGTTTTTATGTGAACATTTATGATATTCAAGCTTAAATCACACGATCATGTTATTGTTTACACTCACTTACGATATGACATTAAGAGTATAGCAGTGTTCAACCCTTCAAAGTTATTAAATAAGCCTCTTGGACTGCTAAATGCTGAAATATAAAGATTTAAAATCCTTGATTTATCACCAAGATATGACGTGTTATCCTGCTGGTTGTTCTCCATCCTCTCTCTCTCTCTCTCTCTCTCTCTCTCTCTCTCTCTGTCTCTCTGTCTCTCTGTCTCTCTATCTCTCTCTCTCTCTCTCTCAAAATTATGGTTTCTGGTGCTAGGGTGCAAAGTATTATGTTACAATGGGAAGAAAATACTGAATGTACTCTGTGAAAAACCATGAGATCGCAGCTTTAATTGAAACACGGATCAATAAAATAATATATATGTATTCCCACAAGTGCATGCTGACCAGTGCTACTGCAGCAAATACTAAACCGGCGACCTCACAGTAACGAGATGCATTTATGAAAAGATCTTCTGGAGCAAGGCGTGCCTCGGACGAGCGTCCAGGGTGGTCCCAGACGCGGGAGTATTATCCCATGGACCGCGATATACTAAAAGTTGCACATCCTGGCGTCCGCCCAAACTCACTACCAATTCGGAGGCGCGGAGCTGGTTGCATATCAAATTTTGTTTTGGGCACAAGCTCGCTACCTCCAAGTCCAACCACTTGGGCTGGACGGTAGAGCGACGGTCTCGCTTCATGCAGGTCGACGTTCAATCCCCGACCATCTAAGTGGTTGGGCACCATTCCTTTCCCCCCGTCCCATCCCAAATCCTTATCCTGACCCCTTCCCAGTGCTATATAGTCGTAATGGCTTGGCGCTTTCCCCTGAAAATGTCCTTCCTTCGCTACCTCCAAATTCCTATAGGTGCTTCAGACAGGTGCCAGGTTGTATAACTGTTCAGTATATCGTGGTTCACAGGATCAGGCGGGTGTCTGGGGCAACCCAGGACGTTTGTTCGATCCCGCTGTCCTGCTCCAAAGATTTTATCATAGTACTGGGAAAATCATAATGAAATTCAAGTATTTTTCAAGGGTCTTAACAATAGTTATCACTAAAAAACATAAAATTAATGATAATTAATTAACTAATATTATCATACCAATGATATACAGCTAGGTAACCATTATTCCCATGATACTGTTAGTTAGCTTAATTAAACATTTATAAGTCTAATTATAAGAACATCTGCGTAGACTATGTTAAAACCGAAGTAAAGTAGGTTACAAGAACCAGTCCTATTCAATATCTATTTTGATTTTAAATATTCTAATTAATGTTATCAAAGTTTTAATGTGACAATCTTCCAACAGGTAAATAAAGTAAGTAATTATCAAAAGAAGGCGTCATGCCGGAGAGACTAGGTAGCACCACGGGTAAATGAAGAAGCTGGAACTAACCTGTATAACAGTTTACTTCCCGGTCCAACCTGAAGACTTGGCTCACATACACAGTCTTCACAACAGACCAGAGCTAAGCACTTTTTGGGTTTTTAATATTTTTAGGGCATGCTAATTTAATTTTGATTAAATCTGATTAAAAGGGAAGGGGAAAAATGGCTAGATTGCGTCGCACACAGGATATCCACTTGCCGTTGTGACAAACTGATAGCCACGTGTCGTAGAGGACTTCTGACTAGCTTCGTTCTTCGTTATCATAGTATACATTTTCCCCTGATATACATGCACATCAGGGCAGCATGTATATACTGATAACCAGAGCAATCATATGATAACAAGCGACATTTGAACAATTTACTTATGCAAGTTGGAAGCACATACGGAGACGCTGTGTCATATTTCTCTGATATCCTTCGTGCGTTCATGTATTGTTATAACCATCCATGACCCTGAGTCCTTCAGCGTAACACTGTTCCTGGCCCAGGTGTTTAGTCTTCGACCGGAACATCTGCCCCAGCTGCTCAGTTCCAGTCGGTGACATCTGTGGCAGGTGTTGCTCTCCCAGTCTGGGACGTCTACGCATCATTCATCACGGGTGTCGAACACTGGGAGGGTGAGCATGTCGTATGGGGAAGCTGCAACTGTAGCCAACGTCGTCTCTCATGACGAGTGTTCACGGAACGACGTCGTTCACGGAGCGTCGAGTTGTACCAGCGTTCCTACTGTAACCGAGTCATGATTCAAGCAGTCACTAAGTCGATAAAACATGCGCGAGTAACGCTGAATCAGCGTCGAATTAATGTTGATTTAAGCGTTACTGGAGCATGCTTCTGCCCCGCTGAGTAACTATATAAAGTGCTATCAGCCTCTGGGGGGCTAATGGTCAACAAACAAGTATACTTTAAGCTTGGACACAGTCCGGGTAGGTAATACACTCTCAGTGTTTATACAGCGAAAAGCGAGGGTTCCCTTTTCCCTGTGTATATCCCTCCAGTTAAAGGCCGGTCTTTATATATTGCATATATGATGGTCGTGTTTATTTAGTTGCACAGTTATTATAGATTTATGTCTTTTTCGCGCCAAGTTTGATCATTATTTCAATTATTTGTCATACTTTTCTATTTATTCTATAAATGTGTTTTGTACTTTCCTTTCTCACTTCAGTTCAATGGATGGCATAAATGGAGACTTTAAGGGTTACGCTGCCCCTCAAGCGGAAGCCTAGCGAGTCCACGATAATACTGCAGCAGCCTCATGCTTCTATTTACATAGATCTTCCTCTTGGAAATATTATTCTTAAGAGGTTAAGTAGCATAAAAAATTATAACGAACATCCTCACTTATTTTTCTTACGTAGTAACGTTTTAATGTCTACATTCGATCATCAATCCTACAAAAAAACAGCAAATTACCAATCAAAACACAAGCTAAAAGAGTACAACGATTTATATAAATCAATAAATAACAAAAAATATAGAGATAACTTTATCAAGAGATTTAAAAGGTTTAATAAGTAAACACTTCAGTGTATTACTGAGGTGACTCGGCGAGAAACAAGCCAACTACCCCAAAGAATAATCGATTCCTAACGAAGCCATTTAAGATTAAAACATTTTTTCGCCAATTGACAAAGCGAGTAACGCACTATATAATTGCTATTACTGTAATGATTGAAATGGGATGACCAGAAAATATATAATTCTAATAACCAAACCAAGTTCATTTAAAAATGTTTTAGCATACAATGACCCAGTGGCCAACTGCGTATAATGAACCAGTGGCTGGACCACGCTTGTGGGGATTGCTCCTTCACTAATCACTAGCGAAACTAGCCGGGAGCTTCGTGATTGATCTCAGAGGAAAAACTTTTTTTCTCCTCACAAACCCAGTTTTTCATCCATTGCCCTCGAGACAACAAGGTGACTTAATACGGGTCATGAGACAATTTATATTGGGATTTAAGTCTCAAACGAGAGCGTGAAACCGGTTTGGTTAGCTACGAAAACTTTCCGTTTCTCATCGAACACAATCCGCCAACTAAGAAAATAAGAATTAAGGAAACTGATAAAGGCCTATTGGCCCATACGTGGCGGCTCCTATTTATGTCAATTTTACATCCACGTCTCTCACTTTGACCTGGATTCGAATCTAGTCCATACACCAAAATATGTCCCTGACCGGGGTTCTATCCTCCCCCCCCCCCCCCAGCATAGATAAAAATCTAAAACTACAGTTTTCCTCACAGGGGATGAGTCAAAAATTCAAAAGGTTCACCACCTGATTAACTGTCAACATATGCTGCTAAAATGCTCCTTAATAACAGCAGTATTTTACTAGTTGGCGTCGATTATATATTACGGCCACGATGTATAATCAAAAATTGGTAATGGGTGATCGAGGTTTTGTGCACCTTTAGTCCAATTCACATATGATTCAAGGCTTCACAACCCGCCGCTCGACACAGCCCCGGGATCACCGACCACCAAATGAGGCCTCCTCGAAACAAAGGGCTCGCTGAATGCTTCACTCCACCACCACAATGGATCAAACACTGCGGTGATCCCAGGGCATGCAAGCGTAGCTCTCGCTTAATGCAGCTCTCCCTGACAAAATGTTTTAATCCCTCAACTGAGTGCTATTTGCACGAGATTAAATCCCTTATACAAAGTGTTTGTGGATGCTGTTTTATCCCCCAGAACGATGGATTTCAACGTTTATAATTTACGAGCACCACATAATCCTGTTGACGGAGACAAGAAACCTGTACTTGAGCTTATCGCGGTGTACCCTTAGCCACGTACTGACGTATCCTCAGGATGCATACCACAACAGTTATCTAACTCCCGGGTACCTATTTACACTTAGATAAACAGAGCATTAGGCGAAAGAAAACATGCCCAACTGTTTTTTTTCTGCTTGAGAATTGAACCTATGTCCCTCAGTTACGAGCTTTTAGACAAATAAAACAAAATTTTGCTGGGCGTCGTTTGAAAATGTCTGATTAGTTGTATAGAGCTCTGAGTTGTAAAGAGGTTGTACAGAGTCCTGAGTTGTATAGAGGTTGTAGAGAGCCACGCAGAGAGACCAGAATCTGGGGAAGACGTTAGATAAGATTGTTCTTCGTCTGTCAGAGCCTGACTTACAACTTTTTAAGGCGGAATGTTATCTTAATCTGTGCCTATACGCACATGTGTGTATGGCATGCGTGTGTGTGTCTCGCGTGTGTGTTCATATCTCGCGTGTGCGCGCTTGCGGTTTTATACATGTACAGCGAAATTAATACCTTGTCCGTGGATCCCCGGCGAGAAGAGAGGCTCGCCTCACAAGGACAACGCCCGCCAGGCCGAGCAGGGGATAGACATGGAGGTCGAACACCGTGCCAAGCTGGAGTATCACAGAGCACCAGGTCGAGCAGAGGTAGCCGAGGTCTCCTAGCTCCAGGTCGAATAAAAGGTGTCTCGAGTTCTAGATCAAGCAGAGACAGGGTGTTCGATCTCTAGACCGAATAGAGAGAGGGTGTTCGACCTCCAGACCGAGCAGAGGTAGGGGTATTCGAACTCTGGATGGAGCAGACGTAGCTTGAGTGTCCAAGCTGTACTTGGTGACACACTGAGCCTCCATCCGCTGCCTGGCGCCCTCCGGACAATCAGTGTATCCGGTCAGTAATGTTTTACTTTAACGAACCACTGAACACATGTATATGTAATACAGGAGGGGAACGAGTGTGTATAGAATAGTGTTACCAATTTATCAAAGAACGTAAACAACAATAGTGAGAGTTCAAGAGCTAACACAACCCCACAAAACGAAGAGTATAATTGGAGGGAAGATAGGTAGGTGGTCTTGGACGTGAAACACCCATCCCCCCCCCCCCATCTCCCACTCCAATACCCCCCTTCCAACTCCCACCCCAACACCCAATCGCTTACAGTAGCAATGTTACTTGACTCGATAAAGACAATCCTTCCCCATCCCCTCATTAGCGTGATAGCAGTCGGGCAAACCACTTGAAGATGCAATCAACAAGATTCGGAAGACACAAATGGAAATATGTTCAATTTTACAAGAACAGCGCACATTCGGGGAGATATAGAGGGCGATAGCCTTGTCCCCGGTACTGCAATGACAGTGACATCGCTAGTGAACACAGTGACAGCACCAGTGAACACTTGGATAACGAACAAGGAAATGACCGGGTGGAGATGGATTGGACATATAATCAAAGGAAAAGGAACTGTCTCCATCACTGCTGCCGATGAGGCCCCCTGGTGGCCAAGATTGGAACGAGTCACACAGCGCCCCTAGCGGCAAAGATGGGAACGAGTCACACAGCGCCCCTGGCGGCAAAGATTGGAACGAGTCACATAGCGCCCCTGGCGGCAAAGATTGGAACGAGTCACATAGCGCCCCTGGCGGCAAAGAAACCGCAAAATGAATGCTCAAAATGAAGAAAAACTCGCAATAAAACAGTAAAACTGCATTGAAATTTGTAATAGACTTAATAACACAATATAATGGGTCAATGACCACCAAATCAACGTCAAGATTGCAGGCGAGGAGTCACAATAACGTGGCTGAAGTATGTTGACCAGACCACACACTAGAAAGTGAAGAGACGACGACGTTTCGGTCCGTCCTGAACCATTCTCAAGTCGATTGTGTGGTTTGGTCAACGTTAAGATTCAGTGGCTATAAGTTCTCCCTGTCATGTACTGAAGGAAAACGGGGCTTCATTACATTTGCGAGTAGCAATGTACTGTAGCGAGTAAGCTAATACTCTTGAGGGAGAGACGAAACGAATCCATATGCCACACTGGGACACCTTCATGGAGAAAACTTCAGAGGACATTTCAGCCATTCTTGTTAAATCATGAACAGGAAGTCATCGCCTGTAAGTAATCGTTTCCGTTGCTGGCTTCTTGCATCCCGCCCAGGCCGCGCGAAGAGCCAGATTTACAGAATGTTTACAGAAGCAGGGCGGGTGTGCTACGAGCACCATTTCTTGTTAATTTCACCCACGAAATTTGGAGACCTGAAGGAGTCTGCAGTAGCGCTATCTATGGCATTGATGGACGTGGTATCTCGGCATTTTCGCCATACAAACAGGCAGTATCAATATCCGGGGACACCAGAACCCGGGGGCATGTACTAATGGACTTGGAAGGGGGACATAACATGCCATCTTCCGAACTGGATCCACACAGAGACGAATGATCACGCAGCAGCACACTAGGCGCTCTGTCCCAGCAGATAAGATCAAGATGACCTCACCGAGCTTCGCAAAAGTCAGGTCCCATCAAGAGTCAGAGCTGTGAGATTCTTGAACCACCATTTAATACTGCACATACCAGGGCGGGTATGTGCAGTCGCAGGGCGGGTATGTGCAGTCGCAGGGCGGGTATGTGCAGTCGCAGGGCGGGTATGTGCTGTCGCAGGGCGGGTATGTGCAGTCGCAGGGCGGGTATGTGCAGTCGCAGGACGGGTATGTGTTGTCGCAGGGCGGGTATGTGCAGTCGCAGGGCGGGTATGTGTTGTCGCAGGGCGGGTATGTGCAGTCGCAGAGCGGGTATGTGCAGTCGCAGGACGGGTATGTGTTGTCGCAGGGCGGGTATGTGCAGTCGCAGAGCGGGTATGTGCAGTCGCAGGACGGGTATGTGTTGTCGCAGGGCGGGTTACCCCTGCAACTGCAGAACTCCATCCAACATCAGTCCGCTCCTCTGCCACGTAATAAGAACTCAGTCCAACGGAGTGTAAGGTAAAGATTAAATCTCATTTCCGATTCAATTTTTATTATAAACCAGATAGCAAACATTCATTCAGTACGTAAACTCAGGTACAGTAAATTGCAAAGAAAAGGCTCTGGAGAAGACAATTTCCTTCTCAATCTTTAATTTAAAAGAGATAAATAAAGGCCACTATGATCAAAGTGTAGAGTATCAGCCATGTCGAGTTATGGGTGTTTCTTTGGTACTCAGCCCTCGCTCTCTCCCTCCTGGTGGGTGAACACCCCTGGGGCACTCCCCTCCTGCCGCGACCTGCCCCCATGGCACTTTCGATGCTGTGTAGCTCCTGGCCTTTGTGTAGCTCCAGACTTTATTGAAGCCCCTGGTCTTAATGTAGCCCCAGACCTTCACGTAGCCCCAGACCTTCTTGTAGCCCCCAGACCTTCACGCAGCCCCAGACCTTCACGTAGCCCCAGACCTTCACGTAGCACCAGACCTTCACGTAGCCCCAGACCTTCACGTAGCCCCAGACCTTCACACAGCCTCAGACCTTCACGTAGACCCAGACCTTCACGTAGCCCCCAGACCTTCACGTAACCCCAGACCTTCACGTAGCCCCAGACCTTCACGTAGCCCCCAGACCTTCACGTGACTATCGGCAGGACACGTGGAAGATCTCCACACAGAGTATAACGCAACAGGATAATATCCCCGAGCTAAGATACGAGGGTTATAAATTCTTCGAACTCAAATGGCGCCAGATAATATACGAGGAGACACTCAAGTAACCTGGAGTGGGATTGGGCTAAGTGAGTGAGCGGCCGGTCCAGTGGTAAATGGTGGCCCGGAGGAAATGACCTGTACCGGATACGGCAGGCCCGCGCTCCACGTGAAGACAGCTGTGGCTGATGCTAGGCTGTGTCAGTGCTAGTAGCTCGGTCACCGCGTGTCTGCGGGTCACTCTCAGGCTGCTGGTCTCTGAAGGTAAGTTGATAGATAGTCACTTGTTTTCAGGTGTTTGCTCGCACGGGTGGGACATGTTTGGCTCCTCCTCTTACGAGTCAAGTATCGAATGTATTGTTTTGGGGTCCACCCACAGGGTCATTGCCTGCGCTTGTGTTGGGCGTTAAGCACTTGTTTTCCCGTCCCATTACGGGGCGTTGGACTTGCAGGACTTGCGTCCTGTCCCTCGCGCAGGTGCTGCTCAGTGTGGGATTGGCGACAAACAGACGTATTCAAATGTGTTTAAGAAAAGTTTATTCGGGATTCTAAGGACTTTGAAGCTGGGTTAAATTTTGTTAGGCTTCTTCAGGTTAGTTCAAGCAGGTAAAATTCTAAACTGGAATGTTTATAGAGAAACATTCTGAATATTGGTTGATTAGTTCAGAATTGTTTGTTATGCACTCTCCTTGCATTGTTTAAAGCGTTCTCATTGGCCAGATTCAGGAAGCAGTTACGCAAGTACTTACGAACCTGTGCATCTTTCCTCAATCCTTGACGGCTTTGGTTACATTTATTAAACAGTTTACAAGCATGAAAACGTCCCAATCAACTGTTGTTATTGTTATAAACAGCCTCCTGGTGCTTCGGCGCTCATTAACTGTTCAATAATAGTAAACAAAGCCGCCAAAGATTGAGAAAAGATGTACAGGTTCATAAGTACTTGCGTAACTGCTTCGTGAATCTGGCCCTTAAGGCCTCATAGCACAAAGGGACTCGCCGCACTGACATCCCACCACAACCACATATTAATATTAAACAGTCTTTCTTTAGTTAGCTTAATAAACTTTTCTTACGTTTATGCGATTTAAATCGACTTAAAATCTCATTCTTTAAAGAGTTTGCTTTGATAACTAATCCCTACTACACCACGTGAGGTCGGCTCTGTCTATTTGAGAACCGTATCCAAATTATCATTCTTCCGTCACAACTAAATGTATCAAGAATATTTTGATATTGGTGATCGGGATTAGTGGTCAATTTAGCAATATCCAAGACTGTGGCAGTAGTGATCAACTAGTGAGACGTTGTTGTTGTTATTGTTGCAAAATTAGTGATTCTGTAGTAGCTTGTTGGGCTTTGCGTGCCCTAGCGGTCAGACTTATTATGTAGAGAAGCAATTGTTGTGTGTTTAACTCGCCCTCGGGGGGTAGGGGGAGGGTGGGGATGTTGCTTTAAGGGGATAGAATACCCTCCTTATCCCCTCCCGACCCTGTGGCTGTTTTTTTCGATCAACCAGCCACTATAGGAGGATTGAATGCTCTCCCGGCGCTGACGTAGTACATGTGAAGGATCTCGCCAAGAGTGAGTGAAATCTGAGTAGTGTCGTAAAATGTTTTTATGATCTCTCTCTCTCTGTCTCTCTCTCTCTGTCTCTCTCTCTCTCTCTCTCACTCTCTCTCTCTCTCTCTCTCTCTCTCTCTCTCTCTCTCTCTCTCTCTCTCTCTCTCTCTCTCTCTCTCTCTCTCTCTCTCTCTCTCTCTCTGAGAACAAGAGACTTGGAGTTGGTCCCGATATTGATTAGCGAGGGAAAATTCCCAATAAATCTGATACAGTATCCCAATAAATGTGATACAGTCGACTGCTGATTGTTTGTGCCTGTTTTAGTCTATTTTTTGTAGTCTTTATGTAATCCCGACTTTTATCATTGATTGTTTTCCTGATCGTCCTCTATTAATTATTCTGTCATTAGGCAAGACAAGTAAGGATGAGCACACAATCCGTCGTTGAAAATGTTCATTTCTGAAAATGAATCGTTCACAACACGTGTATAAATGTTGCAGCCAGATGCACTAGCTAGGTCCTTCAATCCACACAGAAATCACAATAGCATGATACATCAAATGAACAAATTTATCATCAGTCCAGATCATCCTGGAGGTAAGTTCGAACCCTCATCACGGCCCATGTGGATTTGTTAACTAGCTAGGTGTCT